GTACTTTATCAGCCTCAGCGACTAGGCTAGAAGTCCCACTGTTAGACCGAGCAAGAGGAGCCCTCCAGGGTCTAAAGTAACCACCAGCAGGTCTCAGACTTGATGGGGCAAAACTGTAACAAGTTTTCAAGCTTTAGTTGGCTTAATCTACACAATCTATCACATTGCTTTATATACCGGCAATGGAACTATCAAAACCTTGGTCTTGTAACTAACTTTGATCTTATGTTATCATTATTAATTGATTGCCCAATGAAAAATCTGGATCTAGAATTGATCAGGCTTGGAATCAAACCAGCAACCTTTCAGATTTGAAAGCACTTTAAGTACTTAGTTTTCCAGACAGTAATTAATAATCATAATTAGTTTAAAAGAGAAAGAGTTTGATTTTGATCTGTATCAACACAAGGTGAAACTGATACTGGACCTTTTTTTATGAATTTAAAGTTGTTTTTAAAATCTATAGATTTTTGGAGGAACCACTAGCTAAAGACATTAAGAAACCAAGTACCAGTACACAATTAACTAACCCACATCAGAAAAGTTTCATACTGTCAAATTTATTTTTTTACATAAATTTATAATATTAAATGAAATACCTAAAATTAAAATTATTACAATTATTTTGTTTGTGATCCGCTAGCTGGAACTCTTTTCTTAGGGGAGTGTGGCAGTTCCTTATTCCGTAATTTAAACTTAGATCACAGCATTTCCTTTTAAACTATTGCGTATTTCGTACCACAAAACAAAATAACTTACTGTATACCAAAGATATTGTCCTACCTGTTCCACAAATCGTCCCGTCGCAGTCCGAGTCCGAAATGTTGATCAAGCAAACGAGATGGGCGTTCTCTGTCAAACTCATCCCACCAATCACGGAACAGAAGTGGCACCAGAGACATCTAAAAACAATTATAAAATTAAACACAGGTAGCGGCAAAGACCAAAATTAAGGTAATTAGGTAAATTATAGGTCCAAGAGAGGTGACAAGAAGAACATTTATGAAATCAGTTTTCAAGTTTAAAATATGGGTAAGCAAATACATCTGAAACTACAGTAAAAAATTATTTGCTCTCATCTCGAACCACTCATTTTCAATTCATTTAAAATAATTGCCTGTTTTAACTACGGGTACAGTCAAGGCAACAAACAAAAAATTCACTACCAGTACCATATTTTTCAACACAGTACAAAGAACTCAACAATACCATATTCGAATTTTTATTAAACTTTTTGTATATGAAACATAAGTGAATTTAAAATTCTTAGTTTTTTTTCTAGGGTAACAATATAAAAGAAAAATATTGTTTTGTTTCAAACATGTTTTTCAAGTATGCTACCATCAGTTTTAAATGACATTTTGAGTATTGGTGTTAATTTTATATTCTATGTGTTATTAAAAAACGGTTAATAAGTATTTTAATTTAACCTTAAAAAAACCTTATTCGAGGCTAGTATTTACATGGGATAGTGTCAATGGAAATGATTTAAGCTTAACAACTATAGGTCGGCCGCTTAGAAAACGACCTCCTCCAGCATTGGTTTAGCATTAGCGCGCAGGTCGTTTTCTAAGCGGCCGAACTATATTTAACTATACCTTACTAAAAATTGCCTAATCAATAAAAGCAACATTTATCTAAAATAAAATTGAAAACAAAACTAATGACATTTGATTTAAATTAGCTAAAAAAGTGCACTAAATAAAATACTTCTAGCTTGATGACACATTTTGCTTTGATGGACGCCATTTCAAAGAAAAGTATTAAAGTAAAAATATTTAAAAAACCTACCTACACTTGTCTTATTGTCGCTTATCAAAAACGTTTTGAAAAAGAGAATTTAATTTTTTTTAGGAAAACAAAAAATAAATAGTATATTATAAACAAATAAATACGAAATGGGTTTAATTATTCTAAATACTTAAAGCTTAGTTGACTTACTTTGCTGTGTAGTCGGAGTTGTTTCTAGTTGTAAATGCAGAATCTCAGAGAATACTGATGCGCTTGTTTATGTTGGTGCTATTTATGTAAATGAGAAACTCCCACTACCTCTATACTCACACACCAACACACACTTACACACAGAACTATATTTGGATCACTCGCTAATTCATGAGTAATCTTATGATTTTATCCTCATACACAAGTCCAACTCATTGAGTTGGTATGGGTATACATTTACAATTAGCTGCAGTTTTATGCAGTTCCATTATTTTGTTGTTCCTTTGAGCAAGTGTTGCATCATAACATCCTCTAATGCAAAGGCTGCGTTGGTGTGAGGCAAAGTGGCCAGCGTATTGCCTTGGTAATAACATTAATAGCAAATGTGTAAATAAATATAAACATTGGATAGAAGCTCTATATAAATTAGTAGAACAGCAGTTTCACCACGGCCCTTGTATTAGAGGAGGCAATGTTTGAGTTAAATAAATTAGTAATAATAATTCAAAGTAATTACGGTACTAATTAACTTTCTTGACACTTCCACGTAAGAAAGTTAGATAATGTTTTTAATTGTATTAAAACAATTTTAAAAATAATAGGAAGTAAGAATTATATCAAGTTGTTTACAGGTCCAATTAGTTGTTTACAAATCAGCGTTATTTAGACCAAGATGAATACAAAAATTGTAGAAGTATATAAGATTACATTGTTATTACAATACATTATTCATTATTAATTATTATACTGTATGTACATTATTATATTATTCATTACATTATGAAAACTGAAAAGTATAAGTTTGTTTGGATTACCTGTACTAGATTAAACCATCCATCTATAGCTTATAGGAATAGTTTTCTACCATCCAAAACAAAATGATCCACTATCATTAATTTATTATATTTCAGCAGTTAGTTCTGCTATAAATTACACCATGAAAGTTCTGTTCCTCTACTGAGGTAATATGACAAAGCTCCCCTTCCTTTTATATATTTATTAATATATATTATTAATATATTCTATACAGGGTGTTTTTTTAAAAACTTGCATCTTTATTTATGTAAAAACCGCAATAGATAGAAATATTCAGTTTGCGGGAATCATCTATTGACGTAGGGGGACCAATTGTTTTGAATTCAACGTTACATTCACATTCCCCCCCTTTCCCCCCCTGCCCCCAACTTAATTTTTTTAAATAGCAAGGTACCCCTTGTGACATATCAAATAAAAGAGCATGAAAAAAGAAAATTTTTGATGAAAAAAAATTGAAAATCGGTTCATAAATTTGTGATATATTTCCCCCCTCACCCCCCCCCCCGGAACTTAATTTTTTTTAATAGCAAAGTACCCCTTGTGACGTATCAAATGAAAGAGCATGAAAAAAGAAAAATTTTGGCGAAATTTATTTTTCATTTGATATGTCACAAGGGCGGGTACCTTGCTATTAAAAAACAAGTTATGGGTAGGGGAAAAGGGGGGTGATTATCTCACAAATTCATTAGCCGATTTTAAATTTTTTTTCACCAAAAATTTTCTTTTTTCATGCTCTTTCATTTGATATGTCACAAGGGGTACTTTGCTATTAAAAAAAAATTAAGTTCCGGGGGGGTGAGGGGGGAATATCTCACAAATTTATGAACCGATTTTCAATTTTTTTTCATCAAACATTTTCTTTTTTTATGCTCTTCTATTTGATATGTCACAAGGGGTACCTTGCTATTTAAAAAAAATAAGTTGGTGGCAGGGGGGGAAAGGGGGGGAATGTGAATGTAACGTTGAATTCAAAACAATTGGTCCCCCTACGTCAATAGATGATTCCCGCAAACTGCATATTTCTATCTATTGCGGTTTTTACATAAATAAAGATGCAAGTTTTTAAAAAAACACCCTGTATATTATTATATTTATTATTAATTCAAACTGAAGCCCTAACTTATGTTTGAGGGATCCCAGATCCCACTTTTAGAGTTTTTATTTTACTCAAAAATGTCAAAAAATGAAATATATTTTAGACATCTAATAGTAAGCCAAGCCTATTTAAATCTATATCTACCCCTTTCTGAGGAAGGACCTGGCTTATTTTTTTTTTAAACAAAATTGAATGATAAAAAGAAGTATAGTTTTAGCATTAATATTCACACACACTTAATGATGATGAATTGGCTACTTCATGAAATTGATTTTTTTGTAAAGTGAAAACCTTTGTTTGGTTTTACTTGGATTTAAATCCCAAATTTAATACTTTTGTCAATATACTTTTAGAGTAACATGAGCTTGAATACTCACATCCATTTAGTGGCAGACTTTCAAGGTTGTTGTCAACAGTATGAACTTCTTGTCCATGTTTATAAAACTGCATTAAACAAATATTTCTTGTCATGTTTTGAAATTGCCACCTGGGAAACTTCCATTGATGTCGCTATTCTTGAAACTAATTTCTAAACATTCTGTTGGTCTACAAATGTTTACCGAGGCAAGACGCTAAAGACTTGGCTTTGAATCAACTACTACAATAGGTTAGTTTGTCCACAAACCAATCATCTTCAGAGCCAACAATGTAGCGAGATTTGATGTGAAATGGTCAATGTTCGTTAGTCTCTAACGGTTATGGTCAAGTGTTCCACTTAATTTCAAAAATAAAGTAAAAAATGATTATTACGATTTATTTATTATTTAGTTTTGTTTTGATAGTCAAATCCGAAATTCTTCTTCCAACAGAAGAGAACTATACAAATCTCCATGAGTGTATTGAAAATATTACCAAGACTTATGCCGAAAAACGGACATTTGTTTTTTTGAGCGAAGAGGTGGAAAACTCAGACTTCATGAGCGGTTTACTCAAAGTGGTGAGTGGACCAAGAGTTATTTTAAGCCCGCAAAACTTAACTCAGGAAGAAGGATTTTTTATACTTCTTGCACAAAAAAATAAATTTTACTCAAAGATCTTGGAGCATTTGGTTTACTTTGAAAACTCGAGGTTCTTACTGATATGGACTCAGCCGGAGAAGAGTATTTTGTATTTGAGAGGAATTTTTCAAGAGTTCTGGAGCCACGAGATGTTGGATGTGGTCGCATTGGTGAAGATGAAGTACGGAGGACTCGCAGTTTACACATACTTTCCCTACACCAAGACTCAATGTGCCGACTCTGGTGCACCGGTCATGATGGATACTTGGGGTGAATCCAACCACCGGTTCACCAGGGACCGCAACCTTTACGATAGGAAGAACAAAGTGTACAACCTTTACGGTTGTCCTTTGAAATGCGCAGGTGTCCACCGGCCCCCTGATTCTATAATTGAAGAGACTGGAAATAAAACCTACAACTTGAGTGGGATCGGGGGACTTTTATTTGAGACTGTGGCTGAGAAAATGAACTTCACCCCGATTATAACTAGAGTCGTCGACGTTACGTCTAACTACGATGCTATTTACTCCAATGACTCGTCATCCATAGCAATCGATGTGGCGACCAAAAAAGCAGATATTGGGTTTGGGATATTCACCCGTCTGCTTGACTATCATCCTCAAGTAGCGCTGGTCAAAGAGACGGACATGGATTGTTTCACGTGGGCTGTTCCTGCCGAGGCTGGTGTGGGTCCCTCCATGTGGTCTACTTACATCGGTGAGTTCTCAATCATTACATGGGTACTCATTATGTTCACCCTCGTTTTGGTTGTGGTGATATTTTACTTACTTTCACGTCTATCGAAAAATGAAGATCCGGATTTTACAAAATGGGACGTTTTATTTTTCTACGTCTACTTCACATTTTTAGGAGCCTCGGTAGAAGAAAAACCCCGCTCGAACATCATCCGATCATTTCTCGCACCTTGGTTGTTTTACTGTCTGGTATTGATCGCAGCCTACAATGCTCAACTGGGTAGTTTCGCAACAGTGCCGACAAGAAGTGGCAACATCGAAGATACAGCAGACTTACTCAAGACAGAATTCAGCATCACCGGAGCACCACAAATGTTCTATATTTTAAACGCTTCAGTCAAAAGTAGCTATGCTATCAAAATGTTGTTGAAACGTTTTGAAGTCTTACCGCCCGGAAACTTTCTTCCTGTGGTGGAAAAAGTGGTTTTAAATAGAAACACAGCTGTGTTTTCGACAAAAAGTTTGCTTTCGTACATCAATGGGAGACTCAAATCGCTTCACTTACCAACTTGTTACTTGCAGCAACAGTGTGTCATCAAGGCACCGTCGTCTCCAGTAATCGTCAGAAAAGTTTCCCCATTGAGAGAACCGCTGTCCGCCATTGTTCATCGTCTGTTTGAAGCCGGAATTCTCAGTCGGTGGGAAACTCAAGCAAAGCATCAGAGGAATATTGAAACATTCCACTACGAACCAAAACTATATATGGAGCAGATGCAGGGCGCGTTCCTTCTCCTCATTTCCGGACTGTTACTGTCAGTGCTGGTTTTTGTTGTAGAACTTGTGGTTCATCGATGGATTTGCCCTCCTCCTGATATTCTTAGTCAGCTAATAGCACAAGGTTATACTATTCCCTTTACAAATTAGATACAAATCTTAAGTTTTACTGACCTTTGACATATTGAACCTTTATGTGGATAGATTGAGTAGATTTAATAATTCAGGAGGAGTCAAGAATAGCAATCAAAATCACTCGATGATCATGATTGATGATTGATCAATGACGATTAAATGGTTTGAAACATCAAGATTAATATTTGATTAATTGTTCTATGTATGAGGCAGCTATTAAACATGTAAGTAAGATGTTGAAGATACTATTTTGTTACCCAAGCATCGACCAAATTTATTATACTAAGAAATAAATAGAATGGCCTATTTATTTGGTGGACATGGGTCCACCTCAAAGAAAAGAACTAAAAACCTTATACATCCTACAAATTCATGAAGTAAATACATTGATAATTGATTTGTTGAGATTTTACTTTTTTTAAGAGAACCAGCCAGACTCAAGACTGACATATTTGTGATGGAAGCCAATAAAGAATTTATAGGGGTTTGACCGGTTTAAGTTTTATGATGCCAATGAAACTTGATGTTCTCCATAGGATTTTGAAATAACTCCACCACAGCAAACTTGTAGACTAAGCGAATTTCAATTTGTCTGATTGAACTTTTACTACAATTGTTCCATAATAAACACAACCCAAATTACAAGTACCCAATCGCCTCAGATCAAAAACAACTGAGCTTGACCTTTTTCCTAGGCCAACAATGTAGTAATGAAAATAGGAATAGGGTTTTCATAGGGTCTTTCACTGATAAGACAAGTTTATACAAAATACACTTTATTCACAAATATAAGTCCTAAAGTATTAACATATTAAAATGATTAAAAGGCACATTTCTCAGAAATGGTCTTGATCACAGTTGAAGGGAAACTTGTTAAATTCTTACAACTAATAATAGCACTTTTTGAATGCAGCTTATACAATCTGAAACATAACAAACCAAAGAGGTAAAATTGTGGTACTATTGTAGAAAGTAAATGATTGAAAGTGAAATAATTATTACATTTGTGACACTCCTAAAAAAAGTTAAATAGGTAAAAAAAATGCTTCTTTAATTTATTTTGTATCCATACATTTCTAATCAAATATGTCACAAAACTCCTCAACTTACTCTAGAATTGTTTGTTATATTCTATTTAATAAATATACCATGGTCTAAAGACGGATAGCTTTAGTTGTCCAACCACAGGACTATCACAGAGCTTAATTTCTATTGGTGATCAACAGGAGTTGAACCTGAACCAGCAGGATCAAAGTCTCTTGCTCTAACCACTACACCAGTTTGGTTCACCGTATTATGACCATACCAAACTCACCTTCTCTGTGCTTTTCTTTTTCCTCAGCTCCTTTTTCAATTCTCTCACTTGGTTTTGATAAGCTTCTCTCAGTTGTTTGACTTGTTCGTTTACAGTTTTTTCATGTTCCTCCATCACCTTGATAAACTCCGCTTTGTACTGATTACACTTGCTGGTATATTCCGCTTCTATGTTCTGATTAGTCGTTATCAGCTGATTTCGCAGTTTTTGCACCTTTGCTTTCGCCTTTTGAATCTTTGAGCTTTGGTCGTCAATGATTGCTTCCTTCAATTTCACTTCACCTTGAGCGTTTTTCAGCTGAAACAAATTGACGTTGAATGAGAGTGTTTTTGAGAATAATGAATGATGCAGTAATTTTGTTGAAAAAACTATCATAAACTAAATTTTAAAAATTTATACTCATCAAAATCTTATATTATACGTCTGGGAAATAAAACATACCAGTTCTTAAAATATCTAAAGCTTAAGTCAAATTTAAATAGCGACAGATAATACTTCTTAGCCATTACACTTACAACAAAAAGGTATGTTGAGTTTAAATAAATTTTGTATTTAGTCAGTAACAGCCTTAATTATTATTTACATTGTCCGTTACCACTATATGAATGGTATAGTCCGATGTCTCTATTATCTTGCCCAGTGAATACAACAACAGTTACATAGTATATTTAAGGATCTGCGAGTTCCCAAAATTTTCTGGATTGGCCTGAGGAAATCAGCTTGGTCCAGAAATAATTTCTGTGCCAAGCTCAGGTCAAGTCATTAACACTAGAAGTGTGCGGGCGGCTTGATTTTCAATTTTTATAGATATTATCGAGATTGCAGAAAGTGTCAGTGATTGCAGGTAATTTTAGAATTTTGCCATGGTTCCTGGAGACAGTGATGATGTGCTCTGCAACCATGGAAAATGTTTCACGGTTTTGTTTGGATTGCGGGATATGATACTGATGTCTCCGCGACTACTGAAGATATTCTCGGTTTCACCGTGATTGTGGATTATTGTACAACAGGCCTATGTTACTAATCGATAATGGAAGAACAATAATTATTTTTTTAATATGCTTTCCTAAGCACTTTTATGATCCGACCGACCCCAAGGAAAATAGTCTGGCTGCAGACCCCTACTTGCTTCATAGGGTTAATGATTAGAATCAGTGGAAAAATTTTAATTTTTTACATAATTTGAACTAATCCATCCACAGTCTAAGTTAATCCAACCGTAGTTTTTGGAAGGGCACTTCATATAACGGAATGAAGTAAGATTCTTTGCAAGAAAAATCTTAAACAAAAACAAACAACACCCACCTCCTGAGACCACTGTACCATCAGCTGGGTCGTTCTGTTTCTGTCAGCCTCTATCTGTTGTTGCAGTGTGGCCAACTGTTTCTGGTGCTCGTCTTGCAGTGATGCCAACCTCTCTTTTAACTTCTTCACCTAGACAAACATCTAAGGCTTTACATACTGAATAATTATCCTACTAAATGGCTGCATTGTTGTGATACGGTTTGTTAAATTTCTGAACTTCTTGATCAGCATTGTTCAGCATTTAAGAAATTTAACAACTTCTTAAATTTCTATCAACATTGTTCAACCCTTTTCAATTACATGGATTAAAATCTCTTTGGGTGAGTTCTTAAAATATGTTTTGAATCATTTTATTTTTCTACATTATAAGTAACTTAAAACAGTGTTCAGATTTCATAATAGGATGAGAAGTACAACCAATTATTATTTTAATTTAATAATTAAAAAAAATATCAGAACAAAATTTTTGTTTGATTCAACTTACTCACCCATGACCAAACATAGTAAAAGGCTACTAAAAAAAAGTTATCAAGAGCCAAAAAATAGAGAGTTTGCAGAATTTGCTTTGACAACTTCCAGCTTCAAACCAATTTATGTGCCTTCAGTTTTGAACTAAATAACTAACATTTAGGGAACAACAGTTCAACATCTTTGTGTGTTTTATTTTACATTTCTTTATAAACAAATCAATTTTATACCTCAATACTTCATGCAAACCCACCTCTCCGACACGTTCCTGCAGCGCTGTCTGTAGTGCGCCAACCACGCTGGGGTCTGCGCGCCGACAAGCCTCTTCCATATACTGCTCCTCTAGCCGCCTGATCTGCGCAGCGCAGAACTCCAAGGTCACCTGCTTAGTTCTCTCTTCTACTTCCTGTAGAGCTCTCTGATGACTAACTCTCAGTTGCGCTTCTGCCTCTGAAGAATAAACAGTGACAGTGACTGAAGAGTGCAAAATATGAGTATTATATTCTATTTCACGTTCAAAATGGCTGTCTCAGAAACAAACGTCCGTTTTTAGGTTAAGTTTTGTTGGTCCTGATATTTTTAATCAGGACCCACAAAACTTAAATCCTTTCACTAATTTTAGCGAACTCTCCCTTTTAGAAAAGAAGCTATTACTTTAGGTGTGGTACGGTCACACCTAGGCCAGAGATTGATTTAATCCAGAGGACAAAAACAGTATTCGTTCAAATTTGTGTACATGTTCAACAGAATAACTCAAGAAATTGTGGTCTGGTTTTGATGAAACCATGGATGGATGTGAAGGGCTGTAACTTAACTTTTACTTTTACATGAGTATATAAACCAGCAAGATCATATAATGGAACATTGTGTCACCGTCTTAAGAAGGTACCCTAAAACAAGATATGATTGAAACCATGCATTGGAAAAGACTACATTCACCTTTTGAGACTTTTTAACCAATGCAATAAGTGAATATATTAAATTAACCCAAAGATATACAGATATTTTTTATTTTGGCTTGTTTAAACTGATCCGTAACGAAATACCTTACCAAGCATATGTTGATGTTCCTGTTGTAATCTCTCAATTTCCTGTTTGTGTTGGTTTCTTGAAGCTACAACAGCTTCTTGATGGGCTTTCTCCAAAACTGCAAGATTATGTTCAAACTCTTCTCTGAGTCTCTTTTCTACCCCTTCAAGCACTCCTGAAAAATATCAAATGTTTTTCCTACTTATACCTTGTACTTTTTTATAAATTGTATTAACAGAAGGAACACTAACCTCAAGAGAAGAATAACACTAAGCTAGAATCTTAAAAACCAAAATATAAAACCGAAAATGAAAACAGTGTAGTCTATCAAATGAAAAACTTTTCACTTTTAAGTGATCAAATATCACAGTAACATTACAAGAGTGGTGTATTGTGTTTTCTGAACTCTTAAAAATGTAAGACCTCAAATACATGCAATAAAATAATGGGAATAAGATTGAGAAGATTTAGGCACCCTACTCATCCTACAAAACTATAGATGCACTGGTAGGTAAACGGTTTTGCTCAACATTTTCAACAAAATCAACACCTCTTTAGTCTTTACCTTTGTCTTCTGTTGTTTGTTCCACAAACATCACGTCTGTTTGTGTTGCACAGCTGGTAGTTGTAGGTGTTCGTTTTCGACTCTCAATCAGTTTTTTTATCTGGTTCTCCTGAAATTATGTAAAAATATTATTTATTACGTATTGATTAATTCACTATTTTACAAAACATAATATTTAAAATAATATGAGTTTGAGCTTTGTGTAAATTAAACTACAATTTCAAATATTCTTCCTTGTTTTTTTTTTATCTTAAGAAGCGATGTAGCCTTATAACATTTCTGGGAAACAATCTAATCAACCTTTTCATCGCACTTTGTCTTGAGGGAGTCACGATCCTGCCGTAAGCTTTTGATCTCCGTGTCAAACTGTTGACGAGCCGTTTTCTCCAGCTGTAACAATCTGGAAAACCAATGTCTATCAACAAAACAATCAGATATTGACAACAAATCATCAAGTTTACATGAACAATTTTTTAAAAGGGAAATGTAGCTGACAATGGATTTTTTGGGAAATGGATAACATTAAGCTAGTATACCTGAGAAAGACTCTTGGAGCTTATGCATACACAATTAATTATCATCCTTGATCCTAGAATAGAAATTCTTGAAAGGATCAAACATTATTAGAATATTTTCAGAGAAGCATGCATATTAAATTACTGTATTGAATATTTTCATAGATAGACCATGGAAACTCTTCAATGGATCATAGAGTAGCCTACATTACTTGTATCGTGAAAATACAAGAGCTTACTTTTTTTTCTTTTTTTTTTTAAAGAGGTTGGCGGCCTCTTTTAACCTTGCATTTGCCCGTTCACATAGACTAAGCGCCCGTGCGTGGATCGTTTACAGCAAATAAAATGTTATCGGCAGTGACCAGGATCCGAACCCACGACATCGCTGCCTTGGGCCCGAAGTCCGCGACGCTACCGACTGAGCCACCGACTCACTTAAACTTACTTATTATACAGAGGATATTGGAGAGTATTGGTATAGAACTTCTTCAGAGAAGTGTACAGTATTTTATAATAAATAGATAAACTGATAAGATTACCTGTCCCTAGCAGCCTGCAGCTGTGATCGTGCTGTGGTCAACTCATTTGTGTGACGTACAGACATGTTACTCAGCTCCTCCTGTAGTCTGGCACACTCTGGGCAAACCTACAGCATGGAACCATAAATTATCTTCTATGGAATGTCTTCAATTTGTTTTGATTATCTGTTTATATTTTGTTGTTATTACGTCACCAGCCACACTAAAAAACAGGCCGTAATGCTCGTCAAGCATGACGTCACGATAGAAGACGGCAATGACGTAGTGTTTGCTGTTTGTGATCAGCTGCTTGTGATCTTTCCTTGGAAAATAAATAAATAAATAACTAAGTCATTGCCGTCTTCTATCGTGATGTCATGCTTGACAAGCATTACGGCCTTTTTTTTTGGTGTGGCCTTGCCAGCATGGCAACCCATAAGACCCATGTTGATTTTTAAAAGTTTCCAATCAATTTTTTGTGCTTATTTTTGAGTCTATTTTAATTTATAAAGGGATTCTGCACATCTACAAGTAATTTTCTATGCATCTGTGATGCACAAGAGCTGAGAAATAAGTTTTTAAAGAAACATGCTTGCCTGTTAATATATAGATTGCTAATACAAAAAGGAAATTACCTGGTTTTCTTCATTTGTTAATATTTTGTTTTCCAGTTCAGTCTTCAGTTTATCCATTTCAGTAGCAAGTTTAGCATTTTCTGAAACATTAAAAACTTTATTGGTACTTCAATGCCTAATCCAATCCTACAATAACCTTAAACAATTTTCTAAACACGTTTTACGTAAATTAATGGCTAATATGATCTACTGTACTGAGGTTTAAATAGTGGCTTGAATAAAAATTGGACATACTTTCTGCAGGTCCATTTAGTTTATTAAGTTCTTTAGGTTAATTCATTAGTTTTATCTATATTTTTAACAAGAATTAAATACCCACTCTGTAATTAAAATTAAATATTAGACACAACAAATTTATAAATTCAATATGGCACGGTATGTAAAATACTGAAATAGATTACATAAGCGTACACTCCATCGAGAGGGAGGATGCATAAAACACTGTTAAGAAACAACATAAGTTTTGGTAGGCCTAGTAAAAAAAGTAGGGATGGACGGGTTTTGGGATTTTAGGGGTCTGCGGGTCAGACTTTTTTGGTTCGGGTCGGGTCGGGTCGGGCCGATAATTTTGGTCCTCGGGTTTCGGGCCAAAATCGGGTCGGGCCAAAAATTATTAATTACCGGATTTTTTATATTTTCTTAACTCCTATCTGTGTTTTTAATATTACTTGAAAATAACATATGGGAAAAAATGTATTTATGTATATTATTTCATGTTCATAACTTATTTACAGCTTAGAAGTTGCCTCAACTGCAAGAAAGAAGAAAATAATTTTTTTTATCAAGCCATTCTTTCCCATTTTCATAACTGTTGAAATATCTAAACAGCTATATTACAACAAGTTTGTAATGGAACTTAATATAAAAGGATCATAAACAAATCAATTAACCTTATCACAAGTTTAGGGCCTGTGGACTGGCTTCAAGACTGCAAGCAAGAAGAAAATAAAAATTCTATGTTTCCACCATGCAATATGAATCATTCATTCCCTGCCTCCTAACCTCCTAAGTACAAATCCTCACACTTACAATAGCATTATTAGTTACCTCATCATAAATAAAGAATTATCTATTATTGGCATTAGTAGGCCTACAGCTTTACATAGGAATTATTTTTTATAGGGCCTAAAATAGTAATAGACTAAGCAACATGACAAGTGGAGAACTCATTGAAGAAAAGATATTGTGTAAACTAATTTACTATAAAACTCTAAAACAGTAAAAATAGCACACATACATTGTTTATGGTATAGTTATAGTAAAGACTGTAAAAATTGCATATCATGTCATAGGTACACAGTATAGATACACAGTTATAGGCACAGTTATAGGTATTGCAAGAGATCCTAAAACAACTGATTTTAGCTAATAAATGAAAAGAATTAAAAATCCATAAACTCAAGTCAAACAATCTTACTTCTTCTATATATTAATAGGCAAGCATGTTTCTTTAAAACCTTTTTTCTCAGCTCGTGTGCATCGTAGGGAAAATCTACGCATACCGTTAGAAAGCTATTTTCCTGTAGGTGTGCAGAATCCCTTTATAAATTTAAATAGGCTCAAAGATAAGCGCAACAAATGAGTTTAAAAATTTGAAAAAATTTACATGGATCTTATGCGTTGCCATACTGGTAACGAAATAACAACGAAATATAAACAGAAAATCAAAACAAATGGAAGAAACTCCAATCACATGTTTTATTTACAGTGTGGGGTGAAACATTAACATAAGTGAGTACATTACATATTTTTGGTCGAGTTTCGACCACTGGACGACCTCTCGTATCACAATTATTAGGTACCCAAAAAGGAACTCTTAATATATAGAAAATTATATTAAATCAATACAAAAGAAAGTTAAATGCTAATTTGGCAACATAAGCAGACAGCAGAGACATTATAGTGCCCTAATTAGCAACACAACTCAATGTTTTTATACTGTAAGTCAATGTTTTTGAAACCGTAGGGTCTTTTTCTCGGAAGGAAGGGTAGTAGAATGTAAACAAAAAACCATGAATCACTCTCACAGCCGGGCCCGGGGACACTCAAGGTTACAGACCCTCCCCCTCCCCTCCCCACCCCTCTTACACAACCCGAGCCAGGCCCGGGGACACTCAAGGTCATAGACCCTCCCCCTCCCCCGCAACTATTACACCACCTGGTTGTTCCAATTGCTGACAAAATGCAAGTAACGAAACAAGGAAGTAGAGACAAAAAGATATATTTTCTTTATTCAAAAATATAAAACTGTTACAGATAATTTATAAAGAAATTAATTCATGGTAGTTTGTGTCTTTTAAATATTGTATTGGATCTTAGAAATATCTTTTTTGAAACTCTATCTAACCTAAGAAAAAAATAATTTGACTGATGAAAACTTTCATAAAATAAAGTTATAAAATATTTAGGCCTAACCTCTTTGTAGACTTGCTGATACTTGATACTTAAAAAAAAAATGAAATAGTGACCATACAATGCCTAACCAGACGATCAGCAGTGTTGTTTTGTTTTGTTACTGAATGACAAAAAGGACAATAGGAAAATAAAAGAACAAGATACAGATCTGTACACTATATCAGATATTTCTTTTGTTTATAATTTATTATGTAAATAAAATACTAAAATATATTTTAAACTAGGTATGGAATAAACAATAAATAATTAAAATGGGACCTCTGGATAAATAGTCTTTCTTTTGACTTCGTTTTCTTTGCACTGTTGAGTCACGGCTTTTGTTTTGTCAGTAGACGACTGGCTCTGGCTAGTGACAGTAAGGCAATTGCTCTGTTGTGTCTTTGTTCTTAAACGTGAGCAAACTTAATATTTAATTCTAATTTTAACATTTTAATTCCTCTGTAATAATATATATAAGAGTGTTTCTTTGAAAATTACTTATTATAACTTTGAAAATAATAATAATTTTTTTTGGCCCGACCCGATCTTGGCCCGAACAAATCTCTGACCCGACCCGGTCTCTCGGGCCTTCCGCTGGCCCGACCCGACCCGAAAAAATCGGGGACCCGCAGACCCCTATGGGATTTTGAGAAATTTTCGGGAAATTTTAAATCTTGTTCTACAAAAATAGATTTTATTTTGATCGAGATTTTGTTATAGACAAGATTTAAAAAATCAGGTAAAAATGCCTACGTAAAGTCAATGCAATACAGGAGCGCGTTGTTGTGTTTCCTTTGCGAAGGCGTTCTTATTTAATTAATTCTTTACATGTAAATATTACTTTAGTAAATATTTTTTCTTTTGACATCGCAAATGATGCTCTACCTCAGCTCGGGCCTTAAGTAGTTATGTTGCACCATTGAACAGCGCCGCAAGAAGCGCTTGCAGAGGTTCACAGACCCTGCCTTTGTAAATTACCCATACATGCTAGTAAAAATGAGTAAACGGGGTTTTAAAGAACAAAGAACCATCCATACGACCTTGGTTTTAGAAATTTTCAGTAACGATTCTTTAATAAGTTAAAGCAGTTTAAAATTGCCATTTTTCTTTATCATTAAAAAAAAAGATTTTCAGGCTTTATGGTACAATATCAAACATATTGAAACCACCATACTTTGGATAATTTAATCCTCTTCAAAATGGCACCCTAACTTTGATTCTACGTTAAGTGTAGCCTTCAGAAACACGAGGCCCCCAAACCCTTGCGTTTACACAAAACAGCAGAGGTAAGGCAGACTCTTATGTGTAAGCAGTGTGAGACATGTTTTACTACTGTAAACATAGCCAAAACAAGTCACTCCAAAATCCTTCTAAAAAAAAACCCAAGACTGAAAAACTGTTACTTGATAGTTGATAGTTAACTAGTAAGATTGGTGTTTTAGACTGATAAACTTGGTATTTTTCAAAGTTGAACTATATCCTAACTGATATCACTATGTTTCCTATGTTTAAGAGATATTTTTAATAAGGTAGGCCTAATTCATATTTATATTTTTATACTGTTTTTCTTATGTTTATTAATCAAAGATTTTAAATATTCTTGCCTATTATTATTATTTTTGTATTTAACCAGTCATCTGTACTAAATCAGTAGGTATTTAACAATTTTACAAAATCAGGTTAAAATGTCAAACGTGCATTTCCCGTTATCTCGACTCAAAATTTTATAAGAAATAAAAAATCCTGCCTCGTCTCGAATTAAAAATCCAATCTCGTCCATCCCTAAAAAAGACCACATTTTTTCAGTTGTGCTCTAATTACCTCTTTCTGCTGTGTTGACTCTTCGAGCGAGATGATCCCTCATGTCCATATACTCCTTCAACTCTTTCTTCAGTCTATCTCTCTCTTCTTCTCTATCACCACTTCTATCTTTTTCTGCACTAAGCTGTAGGCCAAGAGAATCTTTTAGTAACTTAAGTCTCTTAGAGGTCAATCAGTTCACACACTTTTGAAAGCAACAATCCCTTTATTGATTTGTGTCATACCGGTAACAGAACATGATGGTGACATAAAAACATGGTGTTGGACATAACTTATCGTTTCATCCCATAGGGAGTTTCTTCATTAATAAGCAAAAGTTAATGGCATAAAATGTAACATTTGTTGTTGTGTGCTTTAATTAATGCCTAAACCATTTCCTCTCAATCGTAAATAGCCTAAATTACACTCTGGCTAACTGAGCTGCCCTAATCATTCTCAATGAAATGTGAGGTTTTCATCCATGGTTTGACTAGACATTGTTGGGTAAGGAGTAAGACAGCAATGCACACTAACAGATATAAGATTAGTTTCAGTACTCAAAGCATGACAATCACAGCTCACTTGACATTAGAGGATTTTAAGAAGAAAAAACAGGTCTGAAAATTGAAGTAAAGGGACAGAAAAGATTTGACTGAAGTAGTTCAATGGATATAACGGAATAAAAATAAATAACAACCACAATCTTGATTAAACACAGCTTTCCATCACAGGTAAACAATAAAAGAAGTTGGGATTGAGGTTTAAAAGCCTGCGAGTTTAGACTACATTAGGTATGCTTTTAACGACACTGAAAATTGTTTCACAACCTATAAAGCAAGCCAAAGTCTTAACACAGTGTTGCTCAAAAGATTTCAATAAAGTTGGATGCATTTTTGAAATTTAATCTAAAAATGTTTGGTGTATCGCTTAAGACATTTAGCTTCTTTGACATCAGTGTGAAAGTGATGAATTATATTTCAGGAAAAAATTGAGAGTTTTTGGGGACCATTTCCTTTGAAATCAAAGAACATTTCTAAACAAAATGCCTCTGGCAAAGACAGTAAAAAGGCAAAGTTAGCGAACAAACTATAAATCAAAGTAGCAGTTGACATATAATTATTTAATTATTACCTTCTGTAACTGGAGTGCCATTTCTTCCTTTGCAGCACAGACAGAAACATACATATCCTTCACATCGTTCACTTCTTTCAGACTCTGCTCTAGTCTAACACTGAAACATTTTTAACATTTATTGTATTTATTTATTTTGGTTAGCTTATGAAAAAAATAGCGTGGAACAGACCTTGGTCTGATACTTATCATTACCTAGCTAATACGAAATGATACAAATAATAACCATACAATCACGTTGGTCTACTTATTGATTGATTACTTTGTTTAATTCTTACGCTCTGTGACACTTGTTAAGATCAATCTTGATTAACTTTAGTATAAAAAGTTTAACATGCTGTTTCATACTAAAACATCTGGTCTTAGTCACTAACAAAGCTACAGAAGGTATCTTACCTGTACTCTTTAATTCTCAACTCAGCCTCTTGTTCCATTTCTTTTCTGACTTTGGACACAATTTCGTCGTGAAACTTCAAATACTCTTTATTATTTTCAGAAATCTCTTTTTTCTTTTCCTCTTCAAACTCTTTGGTTAGTTCATCCAACTTCTTCTTCACTTCCAGTTTCTCTCTTTCTATCACAGCTTTTTCTTTGTTCAGTTCTGCTACTTGGGCATTTAATTGTAAAATTTCTTCAGATTTGGATTTGTTATTTGTGTCTTTTTCGGCCTCTTTTTGGTTTTTCACCGATCTTATTTCCATCATCATATTATTCAGTTGCTCCTATGAAAAAATTAAACATTTTAGGTAGAGAATAACTACATCATAACATTACTTTTTATAATTTGCTAACTGCCAGTATTTTTGTCAATTTACACTTTTGACACTTGCTCTGTTCATAAACAAAATATTAAAAACATAAAACAATAAAATAGTGTTATACAATAAATTCAGCTTTGACTATTGTTTGGTAAGAAAGAAATATAAGTGGTTCTAAATTCTCTAGAAGCAGTCAAGAATTGTTTAAAACATTGAAAAATGTAAAAGATTTGCAGACGTTACACAGAGCATTTTAAATTACTCACTCTACTCTGTCAAATTTTATCCTACTTAAATTTATGATTGGAAAGGAATGAGTGAGGGACGAGGGTTTTCCAGAAAAACTAAAGCAAGTTCAAAATTGCTTGCAGCAATAGCTAAACTATTCAATAACAACATTAAAAAGTTTAGTAAAACTTAAGAAACAATATAGTAAAATTAAAACTACTCAGTAAGTTTAAAACTGCTTGCAGCACTGAGAAACAGGTAACAGCATTTTAAACTTAAGATAACATGAAACTATATAATGGTCAACTAACTTTGTACAGACACAGTAAAGTAAACCATGGCTGAACACATGTAGAGTCTGAACCACTATTGTTGCATGTTGACTGTTGATAGTGTTGATACCATAACAACCAGGCACTACTGTATTGATTTTCAACCTCCCTCCTTTTCCTAGTACTAATAGGCTCCTACACAAACACTCAATATCTCTTTTGGTTGGTTTTACTATTTAAATGTAGGTAATGGTTTATCAATTAAATTAACCATGTATAAGAAAATTATTTTATTTGTTTGGTAAATACAAAGGCACTTGAGAATTGTTATTTATGTAATAAAAAAATACAAACAAATAGGGTTGGTACTTATGTTCATTTATATATTTGTTTTAAGTAAAATAAACAAATGCCTATTCATTCATTGTTACAAAATAAAAATGTAAGCGCAATGAGAGCATAGCCTATATTAAGTTATTGGATGAGGTTTCCACTTTAAAGTTTACTGTAAAATTGTTGATGATTTTTTTAAGATGTGTGCATAAAATAATGGGTTTCAATTTTTTGAAATTTAACCTAAGCTTCTAATGATTTTGATTTTATCAATGAGTAAATCAAATCAACTGATTTATCTCAAGTGGAGGAACCTCTACAAAGCCAATTTTACCACTAGGCCGACCAGGCCATTGACAAAACACCTTTTTTCAAATAGAAAAATAATTATTAATTTTTTTAATTATTGATTCGCCGCGATCGCAAGTGACGATAATGAGGTCCCTGTGATTGCGGCGCATGGGAGATTTCCCTGCGATGTCCCCGTGATTGTGGCTCACAGGAAATGATCACAATTTTGCCATGGTTGCGGGTGTCATGTCGATGATGGCATTTCCTTGATTTAGGGAACATGATGTTATTGATGTTCACGATTTCATCCATGATTGCGAGTCAAAATGATGATGTCCCTGTAATTGCGGCCTGCGGGTGATGTTTACGATTTTGCTGCAGTTCCGGGAGTCAGTGATGATATTCCCTTGATTTAGGTGTTTACAATTTCTCCGTGATCATGTGTGACAATGATAACGTCTCCTTGATTGTGGGAGATCATTATGATTTCACCGCTATCGCGGGGAATTTCCACCGCAGGTGTAGGCCGCTTGAGTAATTTGAATAAAACTAATACTAAGTAAAACTAAAAATATAATTTTTATATTTGAAAAGCAAGAAAATCCAATATTTTCTGACAGCGTTATATATAAAAAAATTGTACTATACAAAATTAAGAGAATCTTCTATAGCCTGTTGTCTAACTTTTATTAAAATGATAGAAATATAAATGCATACTTTCATAGTTTCGATCTCTGCCATGTATACTCTCTCTTGATCTCTCATTTCCCTTATCTCTCTGTCTCTGTGTTGGATGGTCTCTTGAAGACGGAGAATCTCAGAACGTTTAGCTTTCTGATCTGTAATGATAAGTGATAAGTACATATAATTCATGAGTATCTCAATCAATATTCACATTAGACCTATTTAAAACGAATAAATAAAAAGTAAATATGATAGTTTCACTAAATCCTGGAATCATAGCAGTCGTATCCTCATTCTCAAAAACATTGTGATTGTCTTCCCTTAGGCCTATTGTCGCATAACTGAGATAATCTTTACATCTAAAAAAATGTTTGTAAAATTAGTTTAAAAAAATGACTAAACTAACGTCAGAAACAGGTTTGTTTTGCAACATAAGATCTGGATTCGGCGTGTTCCCTAAAAAAATTATAAAAATTCCACTGGAGTACAAAATAAAATTAAAAGTCAGCACTTACTGAGTAGCGCCCTGTGGAGTTCGTCCTTCAGTTTGGTCACCATATCGGTTGTGTTGAGGTTGGTATGCCTGCTGCGGCTGCTGATTCCCAATTGTGTGATGGAGTCAGTATCATCACTGGAACTGTTACTGTGAGGCTGTGTCAGTCTGGACAAACTCTCGTACTGGGTCAGGTCAGACCTCATAATGCTACATTCTGCCTGTAACACATAGATAGCTAGGTTAAAGATGTAACACAGAGCATGGGCAGGGCCGGCAACGTGGCAGAAAAACAAAACTTAACAAGAATATTATACGGGAAATCGTAAAAACATGTTTTTGATGACAATGAATATTTTTTTTAAATTGGCAATCTATAACTTTGGTTTTATTGATAAAATATGTACGGTAATTTGCCCTAATACAACTTGTATGATATCTGGCATAATGTGACTTGTTGGCAACACTGCGAGACTCAGCGGACAATTGCCCACACACACACACACACACACACACACACACACACACACCCCACGCTTGTTTCCAACCTCAAACTCCTAGGTCAATTTCTCGTCATGATGTTGACCATTGTTTGTATTGTAAATGATGTATCAATTGTTGGGTCTATAGACGCAAGAACTGCAAATCTCCTTTTTTTGGGGGGGGGGGGGAGAGGTGGGGGGATAGGGAAAGGATTAAAATCTCACCCCAGGTGTCTTGGTTTGGGATTTGAGGATATTTGTGAGGATATCTTATCTGAATTAGAAAGGGTCCACTCTGGCACTCAACGCATTTTCAACTGAGGATGTTTTGAGTTTAAGAGATGTTTTCAGTCCAATGTATGCTGAATAACATCGTACCTAAAGACTCCAAGTAGCATAGCCAGGAATTTAAGATGAGAAAAAAGAGATTATTCCATATAAAAAACTTCAGCATATTCCAATCGAAACACTACCATCTTTCATAAATATTTACCGTCTTGTTAAAACAGAGTAACTGTAAATTAAATATATGTTTCAAGTGTTATTACTTTACTTACTAGACTTATTTTTATTTACTTTACTTATCATTCCATATAAAATATATTATATAGACCCCCGTCGGAGCAAACCTGCGGACTAAACGAATATCAATATATATAATACATTTTCAATATTCAATTCTTGACATTTATATTACATATACTTTGTATGAAGGATATTTACTGACATGTTCCATCATACAGAAGTTTTCATGACGTTATGGGATCTAGATTCTGATCCAGTACCCAGTTGAGAAACTACTTAAACCCTAAGATAAGTACGCAAACCCAGCCACAGATGAAAAACTACAATGAAAAACCAGTTCACACAGAGAATGAAGTCCTGTATAGTAATGAAGGAAATAAAAAAATCATGAAAGAAAAGAACAAGTAGCACAAATATAGAGCAACCAAACAGAATAGATATGTCTGCACATCATATTGTTTTGCTGTCTCACTTGAAGTTTTAGGAACTTTCATAAAAGCAGGAACATATTCTAGATCCTAAAACAATATAAAACTTGATTTTTTGTGATGGAAAGTGTCTGCAATACAACTAAAACAAATCCCATTAATTTTAATTATTTTCAACATCCACTGGTTCACCTGGAGATTCCGAACTGTCTGGCTGAGTTCTTCTTTCTCCCTCAGTACTTGGCCCAGCTGGTTCTGCAGCTTCACATTCTCCACCGTGACATTGGCTGACATCAGCTGACCACACTGTGACTGGCTCTCCTCCAGACGACGGGCCAGCTGATTAATAGTCTCAGCCTTGTCAACTAACAGCTGTTCTTGTGTCTTCTGCTGCTCTACCACTCTACGCTCTAGCTCACGACATTCTTCCTCCTGCAACAAGTAATAATGGTTTTATTTATTTACTTTTGGAAAACTTTAAGTGTTTGTCACCATAGGCCAGTCTGTGTGGCAACTAACGGAGAAGTAACATTACAATTAAATAAATGGGAAAGTCAGTGTTTACCACAGTGTTAAGTTAGTGTAGGCAACTAGTCAAACCACCGATGTCTGACTTTGACTTATCATGGAGGAGAATCTTTAATAAATGCCTGAGGGACCTAGCTGTATAATTTACTTGATAGGTTGATTAATATTTTGAAATCGTTGTGCTTAAGAGTTAAGACCAGCATTTTACTGTGAACTATCCTTGGTAATTAGTGGCTTGGATAATTATATTTTTCTGTAGTACAGCATACCCTTTATTAGTACCTTTTTTAACAACTTTGTTCTCAGACAGTCCATCTCCTTCTGCACCAGTTTCATTTCTTGCTGCTGTTTAGTTCTGAGATCCTTGATGATGGCTTCAGTATGTTTTGCCGCTGTTTTGTTGGAATCGAACCGTTCCATTAATTCAATCCTCTGTTCCAGCTCTTGAACATGGATTCTCAACACTTCAGCCGTATCATCGCTCTAGAAATACCATCACTTTAATAAAATTTTCTCTACAAACTCAAAATATAAAATATTTCAGAAGGTGTTTCTATATATTTTCTCTGCTAATAACACATTCACTACCAGGTCACACAAGAGTCCTCACACAGAGGAGTGTGATCGCTGGTAGACAACGTGATTAACCTTACATTACAATAATTATTTTGTACTAAGGCAAAATGTAATGCACTTTGTATAAGGAGTAGGGCTGGGCGAGATTGGATCTTTAGTTCAAGACGAGACAAGACTTTATTTCTCATAAAATTTCAAGACGAGATTGAGACAGGAATTCCCTTTTCATACATAACGGGAAATGCACATTTTATCTGATATTGTAACATTGTTAAATACCTAACAATCAAGTAATATTTACAGGTAAACAATTAATTAAATAAGCACGCCTTCGCAAAGGAAATGCAACAACAACGCGCTCCTGTATTCGGGCATTGCATTGACTTTCTGTAGGAGTTTTAAACTTTTTATTAACTCGTCTCAAACAAATCATGATCAAAATAAAATTTCTTCTTTTAGAACGAGATTTTAAATTTCCTGAAAATTTCCAGACCCGTCCATCCCTAATGAGGAGGCAAAATGGACACCAGAGAGTGTCACCAATAGAATTGTGTGTTTGGTAGAAGACTGATAATGTCAAATGTGTCACAGTGGCAGTGTTAATGTGAAATCCTTTGACTCAATCACACTGTAGGTGACAATTGTAGTGACACCTACAATTTGAATTGTTTTAGTACAGGGCCGTATCACAGTTCTAGAGTTTTTACACACCATTGCATGTCGTTATTAGAGTAAGTGAGACTTTTAGCAAGATAAGAAGAGGGATCAGAATGTGAATTATTTCTATCCATGAAAATTTTTTTTAATACTAGGCCTACTGCACATTTAAAGTTTTTTCATTAACTCTTTATCATTCATAATCTCACTTTTCTTGGTTTTACCCACCTTTGCTTTGTCCTTTTCTAAAGATGTTATAGTCTGTTTCTGTGAATCCAACTCTTTCTGTAGATTTCCAATCTCTTCTTTACATGCAACTAGAAATAAAATGGAAAATAATTCAAAACCTTAGCCAATTTAAAATTGTGTTTTATTGTTATTTAGAATTTAAATAGGCTAGTTGTTATGTCTAACGACTAGTGAGTGACTACTACAACGGGACTGGGCCCTTGAAAAGATAACAATCTGACTTGATTAACTAGTAGAATATTAATAGCTTATAATAAAATGGACAAATTTGCCAAGTTTAATCCAAATATATCCATAAACAACTAAACAAGCAAACTACAACAGTAAACTTAACTTATTTAAATTCATTGTTAAGCCCCTGAGCTGTAGATATTATTGTAAGACTAGATTACTTACGTCAATAGCTCATTGAATTTCATTTCATGTTTCAGTACATGTTTCGACACATTGTCATCCTCAGCTGAGTACTAGTGAAGTTTTTATTCACCATATGGTTTCGTCAATGTTCAATTAAATAAACACGTAACACAAATACGACACGACACGGAACATATACATTTAAAAAGCTTTACGTGTTTTAAATGTATATGTTCCGTGTCGTGTCGTATTTGTGTTACGTGTTTATTTAATTGAACATTGACGAAACCATATGGTGAATAAAAACTTTACTAGTACTCAGCTGAGGATGACAATGTGTCGAAACATGTACTGAAACATGAAATGAAATTCAATGAGCTATTGACGTAAGTAATCTAGTCTTACAAAACTTAACTTACTCTCAATAAGAATAACATGGGAATTTTAAATTCACATTTTTATTTTATTTTCTCCATAGGTAACCAATAACAGTACGAGTTATCATACTCATACCATCAAATGCGTCTTTTAAAGGTGGTTCAACCTAAGAACCAAAACTAATTGCCACCACAAAAACCAATATTTTTCATATAAAAGCGTGTAATAGAGAGGCTAACAAACTTGTATAACCATACCTAACAGCTTGCTGGCCTCAGTCCTAGACAGTACGGCCCTTTGTTTTTCTGCCTCCATTAGTGCCAACCGTCGCATCATCTCCTGCTGGTGGTTGGCAGCTCTGAGCTTCTCAGCTTGTAGCTCTTGTATTTCTCTCATCCTCACCTCGTACAACACTCGTAGCTGATCAACACTGTTGTACTCTGGGAAATAAGGTTAAACAACACTTAACTCTTTACAAATTACTTTTAAGACGGTGATACACGCCTACATGTGTATTTTAAACTTATGAATGCAGTGTGAGTGTTGAATGGAGTGGGATGACCTATGTAGGTTTGTTACTTCGATACATCTGGTTCTTCAGCCAACGATTATGTGTAGCTGGGACCAGTTTTGGACCATTAACAACCTACTATCTGTTCTCAGGTTTTTACCGACGACTTTTAGATTGTCAGGTAAGGTATGCACTATAACCACTCAGATAGATGCTGTAAACAGTATACACTCAAAGAGGATAAGGTTTGACAGTAGAAAACCTAGGATATTCAGGAGTTAGGAAGAAAACAAACTCAAGGTAGCCACAGAACTCCAGGGGATAAATTCACACATTTCTCCAGGTTTTCTCGGCAGCAAAACCTGGTTCTCCTGGTCTCTAAGAGAACCTTGTACCAGGCGACTACAAGTCCCGATATTTACGGGTTGTGCTACGCCAGTTGACCCGAAGGATCGATACAGTACGAAAATGATTATCAGACCAAGCTCAAGTCGAATACACAATTTCGTTGTGGTTGCAGGTGATGTTCACGGTACATTGCCGCAGTAGTGGGAGGCGATGGTGTTGCCATGACCGCAAAAGATAGGCCTAATCTCGTTTTTTTTAAACCTTGGGAAATGTTCACGTCTTTGCTGTAACCTCAAAAGATGTTGCTATCGTCAAATATACCCTCGGTTTTGCCATGAACATGACTGTGCAAGTGTTCTTGACTTTAGCGTAGCTGCGGAAGACTTAAGCAAATTCCCCATGAACTTGGTCGATATTCACAATTTTACTTTGACTGTGGAAGATATTCTCAATTTTACTGATGACTGCTGGGTAAGTTAACGATTTGGCCGTCACCACTGAAAACGATCACGATTTCTCTGTTACCGTAGATTTAAATAATTAGGTTTTCCCAGTGAGATAAATACAGCTTGGCAATGTTAGTATTTCATACAAGATAAATAGGTACTCATCACTAGCCAAGATTTTAGTTAAGAGTAGCCTAAGCAGTATCTTACCTGCTTGTCTGTAGGCTTCCGCAATGTCGTCAATAGACTCGTGAGATACCTCACTGTTAGAGTTGTTATGTTGAAACTTATCACCATTTTCCATGGTCGGGTTATTAAATACTGGTACATATGGTTGATTCTCATTGGTATGACCATTTGTGACTGAAATGTAAAAGTAACATTTTCAACTTAGGCCTTTAAGAGAAAGGAATATTGTAGGTTAAAATGGATAAATAGTACATTAATAATGGTTTAATCAATAGACTTCAGAGGTCATCAAAAATACAAACTTTAAACGGTTAAACTTTGGTACAACATTCGTAAGCTAATATAGAAAGTGGTTATGAGTACATGTAGGCCTATTGATGAACTAATAAATGACTTGAGAGCATAGAACTCAATATGATGGGCCTAGTTAATTTCCAGCTCATAGATTGTGACAACAATGTTAGGTTTTTTATTAGAATTAGGTATTGTATAAGATACTAGGCTATAAACAACCTGTTAAAACAATTTTATGATTAACCCTTCTCCAGGATTGTTCTGACTTTCCTATGATATACAGCTCAAGGGTTTGTAACTATCGAATACGGTATTTGGTTCGTATTAAGTATACAAATTCAATTCCAAATAAAATAAATTACCAACCTGATTCAGTATAACTGTCACCATTTTCGTTAATTGAAGTATGAGATTTTTCACTAAGGGAACCATTTGAGAAAATGGGCTTAAACTGAATGTTATTTTCACTTGTCAGTTTATTCTTCAAAACTTGTTTATGCCGAGACTCACCATCTCCCTGGCCGTTCATTGCTGAAAAGCCACAAAACAATTAGGTAATTATTAACTTAGACACACAATAATAATAAGTTAACAATAATAAATAACAACTACTGTTTTACTGTTACAGCTGCTAAAACAGCTAGGCCTAATTAATATATTAAAAAACTTTTGCAAAGCTTATGACAGCTAGTTTGACCACTGGACCGATTTACACGCAGGTGTACCAAAAGAAATGTTATCGGTCCTATATGTGCAGGTTTTATTTGTATTTAGAGAATATATTATCAATTAAGTCAAAAATTTTAATTCAATTTTTTATGGAGATTTAATATGGGGATAATTCTATATCTATATTAATAGACAAGCATGTTTATTGAAAACCTTTTTTCTCAGCTCCTGTACATCGCAAGAAAATCTACGCATACAGTTAGAAGGATATTTGCCTATAGATTTGCAGAATCCCTTTATAAATTAAAAAATTTATAGATAAAAAAAGCTTTTTAAAAATGCCACGTTTTTAAACGCACTAAAAAGTATAAAATAATTTATAAATATGTTGAGGGAATAAATACTTGTAAGATTTTAAACAAAAAACGTGGGGCGCATGCTAATTTACAATTAACTTCACCTATTGAACTATTATGATCTATTGCACTGCATGATGTACTGGTTAATGACTTCAAATACAAATTATTTTTGAACTCACGGGGATTGTCTTCACCATTTTCCGTTGACTCAAAAGACATTTTAGGGGGAGAGAAGACAAATCTACTCTGAGACAGGGAGTTTTCACTGTCCACAGTCTTATTGGGCGAACGCTCACTGATACTGCTGAGTTTGCGGAATGGCGGCACTGTAACAAAACAAGATTTGAGATATAAAATAGGCTATGAGATTAAAGACCAATAACCTATATCCAATATGGCAGATTCAAAAGTAAGGTCAATTAACTCTGGATTTAAAATTTGATAATCTGGGATTAAGCATACTTATTATAGGCTACATTATAAATGATGCTGAAAATTACAATGATGCACAAAGAATAGTGGTTCATTTTCCAGCTTCGGCTGGTTTTCTGAACTAACCTTAAGTGCTATGTTTTAGCTGAGCTTTTTAACCTGAGCACAGGGTCAGATTTCAGATTCAAAAACGTTATGACAATTTTTTTTACCTACTAACTTAACCGACTAACTCATGATAGAAGGTTATTGCAATAATCTTTTGTTAATATCTTGTTAATATCTTTTGTTGTCTTTTGTTAATATATAATATATAGCAATATTATATATTAACATATAACATATATAACATATAGTGCATATAATATATTAAAATATATTATTATATTGCAAACAATCTGGCGCAGAGCGATGGCGTGCTCGTGAATGTCACCCAAAAAAACGGATAGCCCAAACGGAGCAGCTCCATTTGGCGCCGCTCTGTTTGGAGCTCTCGTGAATGCCCAGCTTTAAGCATTTGATCACTGTTGAAGTAAACAATTCACATCAGTGGAGTGCAAGGACATAAAAACAGTAGTACACACACACACAGTGGTAAAAAACAGTAAAAACAGTAAACAGTGGATAAAACCAGTGGTAGTGGAGTAGTCTAAATTTGACATAAAAACATTTCAAACTTTACCATAACCAAATGTATAAGTTATAAAGATACCTCTTAAGGACCGGTAGCTTAGGATTAGCTTGATTAAGGACCGGTTTTAAACCAACATCAATAAGATGTAATTAGAGCAAAAACTATTTCTATAATTTTAACTTGTATTTTGTTTGATATAAAGAATAAACTAAGGTAGGCTACGACTGAAAAAAAAACAATAAGTTAAGTTAGTTTAAATGATTTAATATTGTAAATCGTATTGTTATTTTAATTGCGTTGAGTACGTTAGAGGCTTTACCTAGCTGTGCTCTCTGGTGTTTACGGTGTCCACCTTCGTCGTCACTGCTGCTCGAGTTGCCGCTGTCTTCCTCATGGTCCGACTCGTTCCAACAGTCATCAAAAGCATGCTCCAGTTGTGCCTTTAGCTGTTACAGATCATGGTTTGGTTCCACTGTTTAATATTCTCCATTTGAACATTGTTAAAAAATACTTTTATCAATTTAACATTGTTTAAATGGAGAAAACTGTAGGTTTGGCAAGAAGAAAAATTTATTTCTCAGTTAATCTTTGGCCAAACTAAGCTTATAAGTTATCAAGTAATCTGCATATAAAACTTACTATAGCCTATTTCACATATTTTAAAACACCGCTATTTTTAAACAGCTCAGGAGTTTTTAAATTCATACTTTGCACAAACATAGTTTGGTCAATAGCCTAAGATAACATTTTTACAGAATTTCAACACTGTAGCCCATAAGCAGTAAAGGAGTTATGAATGTTTTTGTAAAAATCACATATAGACAAATAGACCGAAAACTGAATGATATAGGACACGTGTCAATGATAAATTTTTTGTTTCTTTTGACATGCTGAATAATGCGAAAATGTTTGTTCATGTGGTTGCAAGATACCCTGCATGTTAGACAAAATATGAACTCATTACTTTAGTCCTCAAAATGCTCATCATGATCACCTAACTAGATATAGTCATTTAACCTTCTTAAACTGTACTCCATATGCAAGGCTTGCAAAAACCCAACAGTGTCATTTTTAATATCAACCATTTAAAACCATGTTAACCATTCTTTACAAAGAAGTTAGGCTAACCATTTAATAGATAAAAAATCTGTAGGCTATATCATTTTCTAATAGAAAGATCATACTAAGTTACTCTGTAGCTGACTACATAGACAATCGCCTCTTATGTATGACCAGGCATTCTGATGTAGGTAACTTAACATATCTTATTGTTTGTCATTGTTCTCATTTATTTGTTTAACATGTTTCAACACCATGTATCTTTACCATGTACATTTCTTGCCTTGTATTTTGCATTATCTGTATACACAAAAGAATAAAAATCTATTGTCTATTATCTATTGTCAAGAAACGATAATCACCTTAGCTTACAACTAAGAGGATTTATTAACACTGACTTGCTATAATTTAAAGTTATAATGCAAGTTATTGCATTTCAGTTGAGTTACGCTCATAGATGGTTTAACCAAAAAGTTTTATTGTATTACTTATGATATTCAATATTTTGGACTTTGGGGTTTGAAAGATTAAAATGATTCTAGACTAATGCATTCATTACAGAGGAAAGAAAGATTTGGCTGTGTAGGCTTAAGGTAAACATTTTTTTAAATATTTTTTTACATGGATAAAATATGTATGGTAACTTCTAGGCTAGATCCATCTGACAGAGAATGACTCACCATTTCTTTTCTCATGTTTTCCTCTTCAATATCTTCTTCGTCATCCTCATGCTGATCATTGGAGTTAAAATTAATTTCAGCTCCATTCAGCAATGTTACACAAGGACTTCCATCCATTTCATAGATAAAATATCAAATTACTATTCTTGGAAAGTCTAAAAGAAAAAAATTGAAACCTTTTAGTTTCTGGGTAGGGTAGACTTCCGTATCTGTTGGCACAAACAACCGAATGAAAATATCAATTATTCGATTGATATATCGTTCGGTTAGCTAGGTTAGGTCAACCTTACCTAACTAACCAAACGATATACTTATCGAATAATCGTTTACATCGATCAATATTTGGGTACAGTTTCTTAACTGGGCTACGCTAATGTTGATTGAAACTATCGAATTGAAAATATTGATTAACTAGCAGAGTACCCATCCTTCGTACGGGGTCGGAATATAAGTATAAAATGCTTATTGCAGTTATACTCAAGCTTTGCGTTTTCAATAAGGGAGGACACAGTTTGATCAAATTTGCTTTTTTAAATTTACAGTATTCTTTAGTATTACACATCTACCATAGCCATAATCTTCTACCACTTCACCTAAACAATAGAGAAAAATAAATTATCAACAATTCACAAAATATCACAAATTATTCATGAAATTAAAAACATAAACATAACTGTAAACTATCCTACTTTGACAGTTCTCATTGCGAATCACAGTTTTTTGTTGCTGCTTAGTTCAAATTAGCTGTTTTCATAAATGCAAAAAATATATAGTGCTGCACCCTGTTGGTAAATCTTATAACTTTTTAATGCTTTTCCATATCATAGAACCAACTTTTTTAGTTGAAACAGCTGACTAAATTCTTAAATTCCCTTTAAATATGAATACTCATAAGGTTAACATGGGGAACTACATAGCCACTGGGGCGGAGTCCGAAAGGATTTTTGAGATAAGAATATGCCTATATGTTAATCAGGAATGTAAGCTATCATCATGCCAAATTTCAGCCCAATCCGTCCAGTGGTTTATGCGTGATTGAACTTCAAACACACAAACAAACAAACAAACACACAAACTTTCACATTTATAATATTAGTAAGATAATTGATCATTAAAAATATAGGTATCTATTATAGGCCTACTATTAAACTATCATAACCTAAACTAACCAACCAAACTTGCTGATGGTGAAAAAATTGCATGAAGGTTTACTAATCGAATCGATAGTTTCAATCGATATTAGCATAGCCCAGGAAACTGTACCCCAATATTTTCCTTTGGTTGTTTGTGCCAACAGATACGGGAAGTCTACACTCTGGGTATATAGGCTAGGCTAGTTCGCAAAAAAACTTAAGTTACAATAACTTAGCCTATAACTTAGATGTAGCCTAAGTTATTTTTGGTTGAAAAATAAGTTTGATGTAGCCTAACCTATAATATACTGTATCTTATAGGCCTAGGCCCAAGGCCTAGCCAGCCGATAAATTGATTGTATACCCAATAGGTTAGTTTGACTTTTGATAATAACATTAGTTAACCTCAAAATAAAGCTAGGTTTACAAAACGATTTGGCGGAAAATTAAATATTGCCTGCAGATTGTTACGTTAAATAATAAATAAATACTTATCACAAATTAAATAATAATAACTACCATAATTATTATGATAAATATAACACAATTACAAGGTTTAAACACAAGCTCAAATGAAACAAAACCAAACAAACACAGCAAAACAAAACAAGAAAGAAAAGAAAATAATATCTTAAAAGAAAAGAAAAAGAAGTAGGTTTGGCGGTACAGCTTTTTGTACAAACTAATGTCTCACGGCTGTCTGGAGATTATACTATGCAGCTGGTTTCAGTTTTAATGAGTTTGGGTGGTTTGTGTCACCGGAATTTTATCCCCCTGGAATTTTACCCCTTAGAGCAGAGCTGACGTACGCTGACGTCGCTGGACGTACTATGAACCTGAACCCTTTAAAGTTTGTTCGTGGGCGGAATTTTACCCTCGTTTATTTGGGAGTCTAATGAAAATAGACAGAGCTTAAGAGTCTTCCTTAGTGGTAGCCATGTTGGATTTCTTCCCCATAAGAACAATGTTAAACATTACATCATTTGTGGACACGTAACGGCGTTATTTGTTAAGATATAGCTTTGAAATTTATAATTTGTATTTTTAACATAATAGACTCGTGACTGAGGTTTCTGAATTTCGAAAATCCATTTTCATTTCCTTTCAATAATTAGCTTAATTTTAAGCTAATTAATAATCAATTATTCATTATAAAAATTAAAAATTGTGAAATAAAAAACGTCAATCTCTAGAGGACCGCAATTCCTTAAATTTAACTCCTTATCCATAATTATATGACAATTTGCTGATGAGATATTTGGACCCAAAGTTAACATTGTTCTTATGGGGAAGAAATCCAACATGGCTTCCACTAAGGAAGACTCTTAATGGGCAACAAAATCTGGAATCCCCCCGCGTGGAAATGTATACTTCCAGCAAGTCGCCGGAATTTTATCCCCCTGGAAATTTACTCCCTGGGTGAATCTGACGTCACTATGACGTAGTAACCTGAGCCGAGCACTCAAAAGTTTGTTCGGGGGCAGAAATTTAGCCCCGCGGATTTGGAAGTCTGATGAAAATTGACAGAGCGTGATTAATTAGATTAGCAATAAAACCCGGAATTTTACCCCCTGTCCATATAACTAGCGTTTAGACAACTGAAGATGTACGGGCCGGATTTTTACCCCCGGAATTTTACCCCCGGATTTTTACCCCCCGAATTTTACCCCCTGGCCGGTTATAGAAATTGTTAAGAATGATTGATTTACCTATTTCTGTTGTTATTTAATTGTAAACATTCAAATATTAAGTAGCCTATCTTTATCAATTTTATTTTGTAATCTCAACTAAATAAACATAATTCGCTGTTTAATTTTTATGTTCGGGATTTGCGTTTGGAGCCAACTGTTGGTTAATAAAATAATAAAATAAAATAAACTGAGTAGCTCATTTAAATGATAATTGAGTGAACATTTCTTAAGCAATTAAACGATTTCATTGTACCACCGTGAAACACAATGTATATCGTTCCTGTGTACAATAACACAAAACAAAAACATTATTTTACCATGGTTGTATAATAAATCGTTAAAGAAATCTTCGAAACAATTACCATTCAGATGTGTGTTTTTAAACGTCATATAAACCAACGGTTGGTTCAAAGATCAAATCCTGATACTCGAATCTCAAAATTAAAATTAAAAACAAAACCTGTTCGATTAGTTTATGTTACAAATAAATTAAGATAGGCTACATAATAATAAGTACCTGGGGACCGAGCTTTGCTCGGGGAAATTTATTAGTTTATTATGAAAGTAGTCTTAGTATTGCAGATACATAAATCCATTCCCAAAATCCACACTGCTCGCCTTTACTACTTCCTTCAGCACTCCCTACGTCGTGGAAATGTTTCTCTCCCTTCCCATTGCATGTTAGGATTGCAGATACATAAATGTAGTTGCCAAAGACAGTTCCCACACTCTGCACTGCTAGGCTTACTACTTCCTTCGCCACTTCCTACTCAGCGGACCTGTTTTCTTCCCTTCCCATAGCATTTTAGGATTCCAGATACCTTAATCTAATCGTCATAAACAGTTCCCACACTCCGGACAGCTCGCCTTGACTACTTCCTTCACCACTTCCTAAGTCACGGACCTGTTTTCCTCCCTTCCCATACCATTTTAGGATTGCAGATACCTTAATCTAATCGTCATAAACAGTTCCCACACTCCGGACAGCTCGCCTTTAGTATTTTCTTCACCACTTCCTACGTCGCGGACCTGTTTTCCTCCCTTCCCATACCATTTTAGGATTGCAGATACCTTAATCTAATCGTCATAAACAGTTCCCACACTCCGGACTACTCACCTCGACTACTTCCTTCACCGCTTCCTACGTCGCGGACCTGTTTTCCTCCCTTCCCATAGCATTTTAGGATTGCAAATACCATAATCTACTCGTCATAAACAGTTTCCACACTCCAGACAGCTCGCCTTGACTACTTCCTTCACCACTTCCTACGTCGCGGACCTGTTTCCCTCCCTTCCCATAGCATTTTAGTATTGCCAATACCCTTATCTAATCGTCATAAACAGTTCCCACACTCCGGACTACTCGCCTTTGCTACTTCCTTCACCACATACTACGTCGCAGACCTGTTTCCCTCCCTTCCCATAGCATTTTAGGATTTCAGTTTCCACACTCCGGACTAATCGCCTTTACTACTTTCTTCATCACTTCCTACGTCACAGACCTGTTTTCTTCTCTTCCTATAGCATTTTAGGATTGCATATAACCTTAATCTAATAGTCATAAACAGATCCCACACTTCGTACTGCTTGCCTTTACTAGGCCTACAATGTATTGAGCAATCTTCAGTATAATCTTTGCTCAATAGTAACAAGTGATATGCTTTCCCTTTTGTACTGTATTTGTGATTTGCTAGTATACTGTGGGTAGTTGGCTTATTATGAACACATGCTACAACTTCAAGTCTTTTGTTTACTTTTTCCTTGTTATTTAATACAACCAACATGGTTACTTAGCAATCCATAAGACTAATGTTAAAAAAAGTGACTTTCAGTTTCGTTTTTCTACTTAATTAGATTTTTGTTGGCAGTTCTAACTGCATGAAACTCGTTTTTAGGCAAAAAATAAACTATTTACAAGATTTGAAGAAAATCGTCGGAGCCGTTTTCGAGATTTGTCTGCAAGCAAGCAAGCAAGCATACATACAAGCAAACATTGCTCGTATTAGAGTATAGGATAAGTTTACTATTTGATTAAAACTGAAAGAAGATAATTAGCCATTCCCACTTATTTATATATTTGGCCAGGGGGTAAAATTCCGGTGGGTAAAAAACCGGGAGGTAAAATTCCAGAGGTAAAAATCCGGGCCGTACATTTTGAGCTGACCTCATGAAGGGGGTAAAAGTCCGGGGTTAAAATTCTGGCCCACACACTCTAGGTTTTTATAATGTGTTGTGTTCTGATTAAATTCATAACCGTGAAAATATACGTTTAATTCCACGTTTAATCCATCAAACTGATGTCGCGAAACTCAAGTTCGTGGTCAGAATTTTACCCCCTGGTTTGTGACGTCACGTTCGCCCAGGGGGCAAAATTCCAGGGGGGTGAAAATCTGCTACCCCTTCCAGCATCAGATTTCCAATCCTAATGGAACAGCTGAAGCCAATTTTATCGTTAGTTCTGTCCGGTGCCCTAAAGAGGTCGTGTTTTGTTTACATATTTTGCTATTACATTTTTTAGTCCTTGATGCTTTGATAATCATATTAGTTTTGTCTGCTGTCTTTCATGCTAAATTATTTGTTTAAAATTTTTATAATATAGATATAGTTTCTTTAATATATCAAAAGACTATTGGTAAGGCAAAGCAATATATTTCTAAAGTTTATAGCAGCTGACTTTTTTCTCACGCCTACATATCATATCAGCCTACACAAGATTTAAAATTAATCAAAATCCAAAATGGTGGTATCCACTACTTACCAGATTTAAAAGTCATAACTTAAACGTTTCTATTAAGGCCATAACAGTTGAATTTTGTTTCTAAAAGTGTTGGTGGATGTGTAACTATTATATGCAACAGATGTAAAGATTAAAATGTTTCTATTTTGTGTCCTCTTCCCGTTGCAAAGCACGGGTACAACAGCTAGTAAAGTTCATACAAATTGATTTTAAATATAATACTTTTTATAATTAATTCCAATCTAAATGAGGTAGGTAATAACTCTCCAGCCTTTATGGTGTATCCAGATATTTGAAAAGTAAAAGGCTTGTGCATTTAAGTTTTGAACCCTATGAAAATGCATATTTTGCACATGAGTCCCCTCGTGTTATTTAAATAGGGAATGAATCTGGCATTCCATGTTAAAAAACATATTTATGTAAAAATCCAACTAGGCCAATGGAAATTCACTTAGTATTTGCTGTGGAGAGGGTATTTTGACTTAACGCCTGCACATCTTTTTGCTTTTATGATACTTCATTACTTAAATTGGACTATGGATGATACAACAATACTTATAATCTAATTGTATAATCTACAGCCGATTCATAAGGGTGATAACAACTTTTCGTGAAGATGTATACTATGTGATACGACCATTTTTCCAGAGTTTGCCTGCTAAAGGGGATTTCCATTTAACTTTAATCTCAAGCTCGCCCATCTGGTTGCTATTTCACTTAAGCGATCCATCTATTAGAGCAGCTTTCAACAGGTGCTACGTTTAAAATGATTCCCTCATCAACTTTGTTCCAATCTAAATATTTTTCCTTTAACTAATTATTTGACAAAGGAATCATAACTCCACCGCTACACTCTCATTACTGTAAAGTTAAAAACTTAGAACTTAGTCCTACAGTATTAGAAAGTAGATATAATTGATGTAGAAACTAGTCTCAGGATATTGATAATCTGGTATACATTGAGTAAATACAACTGAAACCAAACATTTACCTACCTTGCTACTTCTATAACGTTTCTTACCAACATGTTTCTTAAACAAAGAATAAATTGACTAACAAAGAGAACTATCTCGTATTACGATAGTAATCAATCAAAAACATTTTTTATAATTTTGTAATCTAATGGCTTTTGGCTTTGGCTGAAAGAATCAGCGCATGAATGCACAACGA